TGTTACTGAAGCAGAGAGGAACGCACCGCTCGTGTACAAGGGACAGAAAGGATCGAGCTAGAAACGCATGGGAGGGGGTGGGGGGTGTTATGAGCTTTGACTGGTGTGATCGCTGGTGCACGCACTATTTACGACTGGTATACTCTTCTACCTTATACTCTCAAATACAAACAGACTGTGAAAAAGTGCTTCGGTTCCTAGAGTGGCCATACAAGGGTATGCACTGAGTCTTAATCGCAAGGCGGTCACACCATCGTCGTGCCATTTTGAAGGTTCATTCGTACATGCCATTCGTGCTGTACAGATGGAATCACACTGGTCTAGAGCAGCGGAGCGCATGCCTGTCAACACTGTTTTTAGCAGCGCCTTCTATCTCAGGTTAGCTACAAGCTTTGTTGATGCTTACATTACAGTACAAAAGCCTAATAGTACGACCATGTTTGGTAGCACTACGGCGTCTATCTTTACATATTTCTGAAGAAAACGGCAGCTGGAGCGGCCGGCTGGGCACTCTAGACAAGTCTGATTCTATCTGTACGTGCATCGGCGTGCAGGAAATGTTTCAGGGGTTTTTAGTCACCCAAGTCGCCAATATCGAACACCGCGCATGCAGCAAGTTTATGCGAGTGCGTGGACCTTGGAAATGGCAACCCCGCCGCTAGTGCTTCTAACAGATGACGTCGAGCCTTATTATTTGGTATAACGATACAATTCGTCGGTGTCGTGTTCATTCCTAAGAGTATATGTGAAATTAACAAATCGAACCTTGATTTAGATCCGCTATCGCATAACTCAAAAGAACGCTGGCTAAAGGAATAATGATCACTTTAGTTGCCGAAGCTTCCGTGCTGAAAGTTATCTAAATGCGAAGCAGATTTTAGTAGCACAGAAAGTTAACGTGCAGTGTCATTATGCCTCGAGATAGCGCGTGCCAGCTACTTCAAGCAATGCAGCAGCCTTTCCTCTACCCCTCCCTTCAAAATGAAGCAATAAATGCGATTCTGTGATGCTTACTTTTTTTTTAACCATCAGCTATTGACCCTGGAAAGCGAGAGGCGGACGTGTAACAAGGCATAGCCGCATCATGCCTTCCGACACCAATGCCGCCAGCGATGGCCTTACTATAGCTGCGCGTATTAAAAATGAATTGTGGCTGCTCTAACCAGGAGGCATGCTTTTATAAATGAGATGACATTTGAAAAGAAAGCGCGCGAGAATTTTCAATTCACACTTTAGCAACATCGAGTTCGAAAGGGCAGTCTTTTAGGGGCTTTTACCGCCACAGTGATTATAAACGTGAATCTGCTGGTGGAAGAAATTACAAAAACCTTTTCTGCATGATCTATGCATAAAGTATATTAGAGGAAAGGTGTCGATAGGTTCCCACCATTTACGTGTTCTTCTGCGGATGCGAAGCATGGAAAATTAGATCGCGATGTCCAGAAATAGACAAAACTGACATTCTGGTCAGTTGCTTTATTACATGCCGTGCAGCTCTTCAAACAAACTATTAGCAGCGTTCCAGGAACGGACGTCGCCCACTGATGAATCGCCACCACAGTTTCACGCTACCGATTGGACTAAACGTCATGAGTCCGCTTAGCGGCGAAGCTAAGCGGACTTGCACAACGGAGTTGCGTCTGCACTAAACATAGTATCATGGATTTTGGGACGCACACGCGACCGCAGTTTATTCAGCGAAATCAAGTAGGTACGCGATTGTGACTTTGGTTGCCCCCAAGAACAAGGTGCACTAGTATTGACGCGCCGGCGTGGCTATTTATTTATTAGAATACCCTCAGGGCCCGTAGGGCATTACAGAGGGGGTGGGTACAACATATATAACACACAAGAAAAAAAGACAAAATAAAGAAACAAGTATCAGATGCGCAAATCAGGAAGGCAACATAAGTCAACTAAAAATGTATAAGAATTCAAGCACATACAAGACAAAGATAGATAATGAAAACTGCGTATAGTTACAAGCATTGCTGAGAAATTGCAGTCTTGAATAACAAAGGGTGATATTGCCGGTGATAGAGCCTCCCAATTCCAACTTTGGCGCATTTTTGTTGATATTATCAGGATGACGCAGTAAAGCTGATTTGGCGCACTTTGTTGCAGTTGGCACAGGAGTGGGATCACTGTTTTTGTTTCAATACTATTTTTAAAAGTACAAATAAGTATGCTTGGATGCATATTTTGCAATGCCAATCTATGTGGAGAGGTGGCTCGTGGAAAGAGGTGACACCAGACAAAAACTGGTGAAATCCATTGGATATCTGGTTTATATAAGCATTTCTCACATCGCGGGAATCTATCTATGTTGAAATACCAGCATACTATACTCGTAAAAAAGCAAAAATTTCATGTGAAGAGCTCGAGTGTCTTGACTCATGAAAACAAGGAAAATATTCATCTCATGGCACAAACTATGAAGCCATACCTAAGTTGAATTTGTTTTGTTTATGTTAATAGAAACATTGCACAGAACATTTACTTTTTTATACTACTCCTGGGTGATTTATCTTCACAATGTATATTCTGAATTTTCTCTGTTTTGAATATTTTTGCATATATAGTGTTTTTATAGCTATGTTCATTAGCTAGCAATCAAAAATTACCCACTTCTCAAATTTTTATATATTACACACATATTTTTGTCGCTCTCATACTTATATTATTTGGAAAAAGCATTTCATTCAGCAGAATTTGATATTCTGCAATGCGTGCTAAAGTACTTTTTCAACTGGCAAAAACCCCCTTCCCGAGACATTAAAAATGACCATTTTCTCGCACTAACAAAAGAGTTGAAGGATCTCTGACACCAAAATTGATACCTCGAGATGTTTCATGTTGACTTTCTTGTATACATGGGTACTTCTGACCAATTATTAATAGCGAATGTTGCTTTCAAGGTATTTTAATTTGGTTTTTAAAGTACACGCGAGTGTTCATCTGAGTCTGTAACATCTTAGAACATCGCCACTGGTATGACGCATATCGAGGCACCGTGTGATGTTCTACGAGTAAAGCAAGTACACTCAAACCTCGTTATAACGTAATGGAATATAACGAAACAATGTACCTATATAACGAAGTAAATGAAATTCCCTTTGAAAGCTCTATTGAGAACCATGCATTTTAAACCTCATTGTAACGATGCAAGATTGACTGGCAAATGAATATAATGAACTAAATTAACCTATAAAAACAAAAACCGACCGTAGTGTGTTAAGTATATTTTTTTATGCGGAGTTTGACGCTTGTTCGGCGCGGCTTTTTCAAAACGAGTAACCAAGTGTCTGCCCCGAACAAGCAAACCACGATGTACAATGCAACTGCTTAATCCACCCACATTATTGTATGTATAAAGCACACAAGGCACAAATCTCATCGTACTGGTTTGGATTGGCTGGCTCAACACCCCCAAAATTTCTCCACATGAATGCAATCAACGAAAATACGCCTCAATTAGTTGCCATTTAGAGAATTTGCAAGCCAACTATTGAGAGAAGAGAATGCACCAGTAATTCCCATCATTGCACGCAAGCAACACCTCACTATCACAGCATTCTTTCTGCTGCTGGCACAATACTGCACAGTTAGGCATGACCTCCAAGACAGCGAGATGTACATAGATAAGGAAAAGTGAGGTGACAGAGCGTGTGGAGAAGGGCAGTGCGCCGCTGCTTACACACAGCTACACACAGGTCTCTGCGCAACATTAGTTGAGACGCCGGACTTTCGAGATACACCTCAGAGCTCCTGAAACGTTGTGCAAATATACATAGACTGAACAAAAGTGCAGGAATTTTTTTTTATTTCTGAGGCTAGCTTAATTTATTATACCTATTGATAGGTTAATTTGACATCATTAAAGCAATATTTTGAATGCATGTATATCTAAAGAAATTTTTCTAAAAATGTTAATTACTTTATTACATTCCACTTTGTAGTAATGAGGTTCGAATGTATACACTAGGCATATTATATGCCTAAAGAACTAAACACCGTACTGCGAAGCTTCCTCGCCCCTTCTCTATTTCAATGAAAATTACCCAGTATCAGCTGGGTGGCAGCTGTGTTTCTGAGTTGCACCTTTACTATTTACCTTTTGTTTACTATTTACTATTTCAGGAATTTACGCAGTAGGCGCACTATCAAACCGCCTAAGCTCATAATAAAGCAATCATTTTTCAAGGGTAAAAAAAAAGCCAAGAAACAATCACAGATTTCTTTCAATAACAAGAAGTGATGGTTCAGAGGTTTACATTTCTTGCATCAATCAATACAGAATTCTGACTTTTAGTTTTGTTAGTTTGAATGTCTTTTCATATACACAAAATCCAAACTCAATGGGAATATCACTGAAATTCTAAACGATAAGCTTTTCTGTACCAGTAAAATAATAATAAAAGAAGTGCAAAAGCACAATTAGAAAAGGCAATCCACCATTACTTCAATGCACACAAAAGCCTGCAGAGTGCAAACTGTATTAAATATCATGAGCACCCATTTTAGCAGCTTGCATCTCTTAGAAATAAAAACATGCTGCAAAACTGTTTGTGAACCCATTTAGTTACATAATATATAGTTCAATAATTTGAGTACTTCTATGCTAAGCAAGAAACCAGCACTTTTGGTTTTACCGGCATCTAGCATAAAATGAGATTGTAGCTTTCGTAGTTACAATCTCATACTGTTGCATGAACTGCACATTCAATCAAGCAAGATAAATCTACCTTACTGAAAAAAAAATAATATTCAGTTAACTTGATATCTTTTCCAAGCAATAACACTTTTAACCCACCACTTTCAAGAACACGTAAGTCGCTAACATCCTACTGAACCACGTAAGTCGCTAACATCCTACTGAACCAATTCTCTAAGGCACCACATGGCAGTCAAAAGAACACAGAAAAAATGGTGCTTACAGTATTAATCTGCCTTAACCATGCTCGTGAGACATTTGCATGAATTTTATCAGGATTGCTCACCGCAAATATTCAAACTCTCGTCGTAACTGATCAACTTCGGCTTCCAATTCATGCTTTTCACGCTTGAGGGCTGCAGCCTCCTTAGTTGTTGCATCCACACGGCCCCTAAGAAGACGCACTTCTTCCCGTGCTTTGTTTCTTTCTGTGCGCACCTTGCTCCATTTTTCCCGCCAGTTAGCTGTGCAGTCTGACCACCTGAAAATAGTTCATGTGCTTTAACTAGCTGTTAAGGAAAGCCTGGATTATTTGCCCCACAACCAAAACATGTTTATGCTGTAAAAGAGAGTTTAGCCTCCTGTAACAACAACAGCGACATGTGCGACTTTTTCGTGTTTTGAAAAATTTTGCCGTTTTCCTTAGACAACATATCTCATGAAACACGTCAAATACTCAAACTAACAAATGTTTCTCTTCCTATTTGACTTTGCATTTCACCAACACTACTCTAAATATCAATGGGTATGCTATTTCCATTCTATTTTTTTTCTTATTAATGAAGCTGTAGTGACAATACCCAAGTTAAAATAATTGTTAACGGGTATTTGTGTGTAGTTATATATACATACAAACGGACAATATCTATACTTCCAGTAATCTAAAAGGTACTGGAAAAAATCATTCAAAAGCGCATGGTTTCTTTCCCAGATAAAAACCACATCACACCTCTGCAGTTTAGTTTTATCAAAGGCCGTACCACTGAACAAGCTCTTTTAGAGCAGAAGGAATATATATTAAATGCTTTTGAATGTGAACTACACACTTTAGGCATTTTCCTAGACTATTAAAAGGCATTAGACACAATATATCACACACTGTTAAAGAAATGTGCACAGTATGGCTTTCGAGATGTTTTCTTACAAATCATTTAATTATACCTAATGTATCAGCAGCAGGAAGTAATCGTCGGCAATTGTACCTCCAATTTACTAAAAATTTCAGCAGGCGTACCGCCAGGCAGCATATTCGGACACTCACTTTTTTGTTTATACATAAATGATATTGTAAAAATTGACATGTATGTAAAATGTATTATATACGCTGATGACACAACCTTGCTTCTTACTGCTGAAAATTATAAAAACCTAATGATGCAAACGAGCTACTCACGAAGTTGGCCATATGGACAAGCATTACCTGTTTAAAATTAAACACATCAAAAACAAAAGCTGTATATTTCAGGGTGAAAAACAAACATACCCCTTGTCATGTCCATTAAAAACTTGGCTATTAAGAACTTGAGATAGTACAGCATATTAAGTGTCTGAGAATAACTTTCAATGAACATGTCTTGGAACGTACACACTGAAAAGCTATCTGGCACTATATCGAAAATTTCGGGCATATTATCCCGGGTGCATTTCTCGCTACCTAAGACAGTAAAACTCCTCATATATAAATCCTTGATTGTATCTCACGTTAACTACTGTCATCTAGTTTGGGGTACGAAAACCCTAACAAATATCTGCAAATTGCACGTCATACAGAAAAGGGCTGTTCATGCCATTGCAAATGTTCCTTATTGAAGTCACACCACTTTTATATTCCACGACATGATCCTACTAACTCTACCAGAATGCTACCCTGCAATTCTTGTGAAATGCTACCACGCAGGATTAAAAGATGACAACCTTTTAGGAACAATTGCCATCCTAAACCAACACAAAGTTGTTTATAACACCAGTTTCAATCACACGTAGTTTATACCACACACGCACATTACCTAAAGCAAAGAAATGCCACACTTTTTCTCGCCATTTCACTTGAATGCCATATCTGCCATCTGAGTGAAATTACACATATGTTCTTTTTTTTTTTTTCAAAGCAATGTTTCTCCTTTCACATGGGCAGATGCTCAATCTGACTTCAGAGCTAATCTCGTATTTCTTGTATCGTTACACTCTATTATTGATTTCATAAGCATAAGAAATAATTACAATCACTTCAATTTTTTTTTTTCAGTTTCACTTTTTGAGTTTATTATTTTCAATCTTCATGCTTTATTTCACTAGCGCAGGTTAGGCTGTTACGACCTGATCCACACAAACGTGTGGGTGAACAAAGACGCTCACAGAACGACACATGCTTCAGTTTCAGTTTTATAACTGTGGGTTGCTCATTTCAGTGTTTACGAGAATACATCTGTTCATGAATTTCATTACTAGAGGACAAGCAATCAGCCACTGAAAATGGCGTCGGAGCACGTGCGTCAACGGCAGCTCCCTCCTACTTCTAAGTCAATGTTCCTGCATGTTATACATTTTCTTCTCGGTAGCATATGCATATGAAAGTAATAATAAGACTTTGAAAAACAAGTACTGCTAAAAAAAATTAGTCATTCTTGCCACACGTACTGCGTACTCAGGCATGAAAAAGTTACATGCACATTTGTGTGGGCTGGGCTTTTGTCCTCATGAAATGCATGCAGAGCAGCGCAGGTTGACGCATTCACGCGCTGTTGTGCCTGTGCAGACTCTTATTTTACTGAAAATAGCCTTCTTGGCATCCTATTGGCATTTCATTGGTAGGTGTTTGCTGTTGCTTTCACCCGCGTAAAGTATGCCATGTGAACTGGTAGTGTATGAATTGTGATCACCGTTTATGCCAAAAAATAATTTCGTGAATTTGTGCGCCAATCTGCACTACATTTGAAAGCATCAAATTTATTTTATTGTGCACTGCATAGATTCAAAATTGCGCCGATCATTTTGCAGGGAATATGAGTCACAGTGCAGGCTAAAATTGATAAACTTAGTGAACTTCGGGAATCGCAATTGTGAGTGCAGAATTTACTTTTTTTAACATACAAAAATTCTCACGCCAGAAAATGAAGATCACATGGAAAAAATGCTTAGAACTTTTATATATTCTATCAGAATTAAGCGGCTAAAACAAAGACAAATTTACAGAGTTTCAAATTTGCAGTTTGAGCCAAGTGCCAGATGAAAACTGCAGTAAGAATAAGAAATTGCTGAGCAGTTTTCCTCCAAGCAAACTTGGTCAAGTGGCCATCTCCTGCCAGCTCCTGCTAGCTAAAGTAAAGGTACTGCTGTTTGGAAGAATGAACATTTGGCTACATAGCTTTACCTGGCTGGAGTCCCTAATGAGCCGATGTCGAGAATCATTTTCCACGTTTCTCAGGCTAATTATTGCAATCATTCTATAAGCGCTGCTGACAGAACAACTGTGTGCCTCAAGTCCAGATATTGAAATCTTTGCAAGGAAGCCCGCCAAAGATCATGCAGCTTCAGTATGACCCTGATCAGAGGCTGCATCAGATCACTGAGGAATTCTGAACATCACCAAAGCGGGAAACAACAGAAAACTGCAAAACAAAAATGTTACATAAAATCAATCCATCGAGAAGGCTCCAGGAGCAAAAAAAAAATTTGCTGGCACAGACAAGCGACCTTAGTTATGTAACCATTGGTCATCTATGCCCAGCTTGACATCAGCACATGACAGTAGGTTTTTAGGTCACACATCATGCGCAAGCACACGTCGAAAGTGCAAGTGACACAATGTCCCTCTGAGTGGCAAACAATTGTTTAAAATATTCCACACGTAGCACTGAAGATGTACTTTTTTTCTATTAGCCGTTCTGAGTGTACTCCTCGCTGCAGCCGATCACAGGAACAAAATACCAGCCCACACATATGTGTGGGTCTGTTTTATCACCCAAATATTCAGATTTCTTTAGTTTAGCTTTTAAAAAGTTCATTAGAATAGAACAAATATTAATACCTTTTGAGCAAGCTTGCATTTTTTCTTTTATACTTGCCTCAAGCGGAAAAGTTAAAAAGTGTCACTAAAACTGCTTCCTCAATTTGTACATTTTCATTGCAATAAAAATGTTGTCTATGCCACCCCTTTGTAAGGGGCCGCGGTCCCAGTCAAGCCAATTAGAGGCTTTTTGACCACAGCCCTCAGCATCCCAAATGTTGAAAAAGTTTCAAAGTTAGGGGTTAGCCAGGGGGTTGCATACGAGGCACGAACCCCTACCCCAAACTTCTGTTCTCCATAGAGTACCTGGCGTAAAATGACAAAAAAAAACACACACCTGCACAGACTCTAAATGACAAAAGAAAACACACACCTGCACAGACTCTCACTGCACAGTAGAGGGGTTGCCCCTTTCATTCACAACACAAAAGTTGTGAAGTAAGTAGGCAAACACCTAGCACCTGTTTGCTTCCGGTGGCAATGTTACACTTTCACAGAACAAAAGAAGTACTTTCTACATAATCCGATTCGCACATGCACACTACAGTTACGAAGATAATATCTACTACGTGCTTTGAGAATGACTGGACTATGCTGATATTAAGATTAATGGCCATGCATGACAATCATCCCAATGACCACACTTGCAGCAAAATGCTACAAGCGTAGTTGCTGTAGGATTTCACTATACGGGGTGTTTCAGATAACTAGGGCCAAGTATTAAAAACAAAAAACATAGGTACTACATGTCTCATATTGGCGTGGTACTGTTCTAAGCTGTGGTACTGTTCCAAGCCATGCATGTCACGTCATTTCTTTCTATTCACACAATTGTTAGTTTTCTTACAGAAAACCAAAAATCAGGGCTAAAGGCACTAGCATGCGCCTGACCACTGCACAATCAGTCGTCGCCGAAGCAACATAACTAAAAAAGAACAGCATGAGCATACACTAAAACATATTCGTTGTGATGAATACTAAAATGAAACATATTGGTCAATCTGCACGAGTAGCATAACATAAGCAACTTAATAAGGGTAAATATAAGTACTCATTTTCTTTGTTACATGCAATATTAATGAGAACTAAAAGAGAATCATCACAACAAAAGTATAAGAGATGTTACTAGAAGTAATTGTAAGACCTGGACGAAAAGATAACTTGCCGCCAGCAGGGACCGAACATGCGGCCTTTGAATGACATGTCCCATGCTTCACCACTGAGCTAAGGCGGCAGTAAACCCTCCATCCATTTTACAATGTGCATTTAAACGTGGGAGCATCAATCAGCGCCGCCAGTGGCCATTATGGTGTGCGTGGAACACTCTTTTTGTGCCTGTTGGTGTCACGTAGCACATGATCTTACAACTGACCAATAAGCCCTCACATATTACCTGAAGGCCCCAAGCCTGCCAGAACGAGACGCTCGCACAGAGTGAAGAAAATAATTATTAATTTAAGGGCTCATTTTCTTTG